CGACCTCTAAAGGAAAAGAAGCATACTTGAAGGGCCCATAGAGAATAGCCCCTACTGACCCCATCTATCAATCGTTCCATCTCAGCTTACCCAAAAAAGAAAAATCAGGTTTATCCTATTATCTTTATGACAACTGTATTGGTAGGAATTCTGTTGGTGTATTTTTTGAGGTCAAAAGATGACGACATCTATGGAAAATCGATACATTAACCATGTTCTACCAGTTCCAAAAAACAATCGAAAAATATAAATTTTTCGGACAACTTCTCTACCAAAACAACAACGACAACAACAAAAGAGGAAGAAAAAAGCTACTAAATTGGAGTTTCCAAATGGAGATTTTTTTAGGATTTTCTTCAACTTCCATAATGAAGAACTAGCCACATGAAGGATAATGAGATAGAGAATAATCTAAAGAAGTAGATCTTTTGAATGAAATATGTTGTACCCAGATAGAAGGAATAAAAATAAGAAGAATAGTGATTTGGAAAAGACTGTTGGCAACAACGCTGTGGCATAAGTCTCCAGTAATTGGCATTAAAGCAACCCAGCAATGACAACATACAACAAATCACATTGTAAAAATTATGTTTTAAAATTTGAAGAGGCAGAAGAATATGGCTTAGACCACAAAGGTAGCCTTGCATTTCACCACTTTCAGCAAATGTCATTGATGCGGTGGTTGGCACTAGTGGCATCTTAAAATACAACAGTGACCGACGATGAATGGGTTGCTATTAATCATGGGTTAACATATTTTCATGGTGACATGAGGTTGGGGGAGCTTGCCATTCAAACCAAAAAATGCTTTCCATTCGGCTTTTTGCAGAGTGATTTGTTAGCATAGAAGTTAGAAATACAAGAGCAGCTGAATTGTAATGCTTGTAGTTTATTGCCTTGGTTGCATACAATTTAAATATTACAAAGAATATTCTAGAGTGTACAGCTGTAGTTAGATTCATAAATTATGGAGGATGTTAATATCTATTTACAACAAGAAGGCAATGCCACTATTTTGGTGCAACAGAAAATGGACAGCAAGGATATGCTGCCGATGACACACAACCGTATGAATCTGATGATGTGCTGAGGTAGATGAGCTGATGTGTAGGTTAATTCTTCATACCCCCTTTCAAGCTGGACGGTACTGAGGTAACTCCAAGCTTGTCCTTTAAGAAGGTAAACCTTAAGTTAGTGAGGCCTTTGGTCAGCAGGTCAACAATTTGGTCTGAAGAAGGCACATATTTTACTTCCAATTCCTTTGCAAGAATCTTGTCTCTGATGAAATGAATATCCAATTCAATGTGTTTTGTTCTAGCATGGTATACTGGATTATCTACTAAGGTTCCTGTACTCATGTTATCACACCATAATATTGGAGTCGACACTTGAGGTAGTTCAAGTTCTTTAAAGAGGGATTGAATCCATGCTATTTCAGAGGCTGCAGAGGCGAGTGCTCTGTATTCTAATTCCGTGCTTGATCTAGCAACCACATGTTGTTTCTTTGATGACCAAGCTATTAAGTTATCACCCAAGTAGATGCAGTATCCAAGCGTTGATCTTCTGTAATCTGGACATGAAGCCCAATCTGCATATGAGAATCCACTTAAATTTAGTCTGTCACTTCTCTGTATCCACAGTCCTTGATTTATTGTCCCTTTAAGGTATTTCAGTACTCTTTTCAAGGCCTGCTAATGTATAGATGTTGGTGATTGTAGAAACTAGCTGAGTTTGTTAACAGCAAAGGTGATGTCAGGCCGTGTGTGTGAAAGGTATTGTAGTCCCCCTACTACACTTCTGTAAACTGAAGGATCTTTTAGTGCTTCTCCATCAGTTTTAGATATCATTTTGCCTGTAGGAATATGAGTAATACATGGCTTGATGCTCTGCAGTTTGAACTTCTTAAGCAGCTCAGCAATGTATCTTGTTTGAGTGAGATGAATTCCTGAATCATGCCATATCACTTCAATTCCAAGAAAGTGATGAAGTTGCCCCATATCCTTCAGTGCAAATTTCTTATCCAATCCCTTTATAAACCCTTGCACTTTCTTCGTGTCATTTCCCATCACAACGATGTCATCTACATATATAAGTGCGAAGATAATCTATTTTTCATTTTTGAAATAAAATGGGGAAGTGTCGGCTATTGATTGTTTGAATTTCCAGCTCATCATCGTTGTTTTTAACTTTTCATGCCAAGCTCTAAGTGCTTGCTTCAATCCATAGAGTGCCTTTTCTAGTTTGCAAACATGATGAGGTTTTGCTTTATCTATGAATCCTTCCGGTTGATTCATGTATACGACCTCTTCAAGTTCACCATTTAGAAAGGCATTGTTGATATCAACTTGCCTAATTATCCATCCTTTAGAGACTGCCAGAGTGAGTATAATTCTCAGGGTTGAGGCTTTAAAAACTGGGCTGAATGTTTCACAAAAATCAATACCTGGAGCCTGATGGTAGCCCTTTGCAACCAGTCTTGCCTTAAACTTTTGAACTGATCCATCCGTGTTTCATTTTATTCTGAAAACCTAATTGTTTCCTACTATGTTGTATGCTGGTGATGGTAGCATAGGTTTCCAAGTTTTAGTTGTCATCAATGCACTGAACTCTTCCTCCATAGCTTTCTTCTAGTCCTTGTCCAAGAGAACTTTATTGACATTTTTAGGTTCTAAAGGCTCTGGACTATTTTTAACTGATTTTCCAAAGTATACTTTTGGTTTAAAGATTCCAGCTTTTACCATTGTGATCATGGGATGTTTAATCACATTACATACTCTTTGTTGATTCCTGTCTCCCAGTTTATTGCCAGCTGATTGTTGATGTTTTGATTCAAATCTTCAACATTCTGAGGTAACTCAACTTCAGTTTCCAGCTCATTCACACTTCTGGTGGGATTTTCATCACTGTTTTCAGCCTCACCAATGTTCAAACCTTCATGCTGAGTGTCACTTAAACCAAGAGGTGAGTTATGCAAAGTGTTGATTGCTTCAGGAGGAGTTGTATCAACTGGACTTGATGTAGAATTCGAGCTGATTTGTTGAGGGAAGAATTAAAAGTATGACACAACTGCTTCAGGTTCAGCAGAGTTGGATTGATTTTGTGTTGAGAATAATGACTCAAAGGGGAACTCAAGTTCATAGAACACTACATGCCATGAAATGTAGACTCTTCCTGTTGAACTAAGGCATCTGAAACCTTTATGTGATTCACTATAACCAAGAAAGACACACTTTGTTGAATGAAAACTGAATTTGTGTTTTTGGTAGGGCCTTAGGCATGGGTAGCAGGTACACCCAAAGATCTCTAGTAGCTTGTAGTTTGGTTCATTCTCTAGAGAGCTTGAAAGGGTGATTGCATTTTGAGTGTTGGTGTTGGCATTCTATTTATAAGGTAAACGGCAGTTTGATAGGTTTCCCATGAGTATTTTAAGGGTAATTTGGCTTGAGCTAGGAGGGTAAGACCTGTTTTCGTTATGTGTCTATGTTTTCTCTCAGCTCTTCCATTTTGTGCAGATGTATAAGGGCAAGGATGTCTAAATTCAACCCCTTCTTGTGTTAGGAACTTTGTGAAGGATCTGTATTCTCCTCCTCAGTTAGCTTGCAGAATTCTTATCTTGCTAGCAAACTTGTTTTCAACCAATTTTGTGAATTGGATGAATACATTCAGTGCCTCAGATTTCTTTCTTAAGGGATATATCCAAGTAAATCTACTAAAGTCATCTAAGAAGGTTTTATAGTATTTAAAACCTGATGTAGATTGAATTCGTGATTGGCCCCATAAATATGTATGAATGAGTTCGAGAGGAGTTTTAGCATGTGAGGTGGATAAAGGAAACGGTAGTCGATGGGATTTTTCAACTTGACAGGCTTTACAAAAAGTTTTAACTTCATTTTCTTTCACTCTTTGATTACAGGTTTTGAGCACTTGAGACACCACTTAACTAGATGTGTGTCCAAATCTCTTGTACCATACATCAATTTGTGAAATTAAAGACTCTTGATTGGACTCTTGAATAAAATTAGACTCTTGACTGGGGCTGAGAGAGGAGGTATTGCAGCAGTGTTTATTTGGATTGCCCTTGTCATTTTAGTGATCTTGGGCAATTTCAATTTAGAGAAAATTACCTATAACCCTACAATTAAAGATTAATTTTCATAAATAAGGGGGTTAAGTTTAAAATTCAGATTTCAGGTGGTAAATAAGATAATTAATTGTAATTAATAAAAAAAAATTAAACGTAATCTACATATTCATCTCTCCACCATACCACACCCTACCCCTACCATGATTCATCCCAAACCCAATTCATTTCAAACCCCAAAGTTTCTTAACATCTTCCTTCTTCTCTCTCTCTTTGCCACCGATGATACCCACCCACCTTCACTTTGTACTCTCTCTTCTAACTTCATCTTCACCGGAGCTGAATCCCGGCCAAAATTTCGGTAAGGCTGGGAGGTTCAAGTCAAAGTTCCGGTGACTGACAGTGGAGCCAACACCCTCCAATGAACTCAGTGCAGTACTCCTGCCAACCGCGCCGTTGTTATTCGCTGTGCCACCTTCGTAGTGGCGTCTTTTATGACCACCTAAGACCTGGTCAGTGGGGAAACGCCTGTGGCAAATTGAGCACTCGTGGGTCCTTCTGCTGCTACCGCTCGTGGTTGAGACAGTGGGTAGTGATTCCAAGTAGCGCAGGATCTGAGAGAATGATGTCGATTGTCGCAGCTGCTGATATTGGGGGTGATTTCGGACAGTGTCAATTTGGTTGTTGGTAGTTGTTTGTGGGTGGTGATGATGGTGTTTGTGCAAGTAGAGATGACGGTTGTGGTAGAGATGACTTCGAGGCTTTGGGCCTTTTCCGTTTTGGATGCTTTATCTCTACTGGGGTTGAGAAATTTGGTGGCGATTTTGGTGGTGTTGATGGTGGTGTTGGTGGTTGTTTCTCCAA